AGAAATCACAACTCCTAAATGACACGTGCATTCATACTTTGCGGAACTGGAGAATCAGAGAATAAGAGCATGTCAAAGGGTTGGATGGGAGCAGGGCTCGTCGTTGCGGACCCTTGCGCGATGAGTCCTAATTGCCTTGAAATTAAAAAAGGGGGTGAGGAGAGGGTCTCATTAGAGGAGGGACATTTAGGGGGGGGGTATATTTTGCAGAAATTTTCTTCAACGGAAGATCGTGCACGCGTGTCGACCTATCTAGACAGCCTCTTCTCGAGTTGACAGGTTGATGGCTTGACGACCTTGTTCCAGCTTCACAAGAGTTCACAGGTTTCGCCAGAGTGAGACATTGTAAACCGGAACTAAGGAAGCAATGATAGTACAAAATGCCCCCCCCCCCGTCGTCCACTCCCTCCCCCTCACTCCCCTTTTGCGACTTCAGAGCGAGAATTGTAGGCAGTCGAGTCCTTTCTGAATGGCTCCTTGCAAACGATGCTCACAAACGGATGATTTTCCTAATCAAGACGTATGCTTTTCTAGTCGCACATTCTTCCGCGCCGATCCTCTCATGTTGCAGGTTCACAACTGTGTAAGTGTAGGACCAACGTCACGCTTCGCGACTAGTACCAGTCCTCTATCGCTCTCGTGGTACGGCCCCCGGTCCACCGCTGATTGTAAGACCGCAGCAACTACTAGTTTTGTATGCATCTGGTCTACTGATGACTGATCAGCTGGTTTGGATTTCCGATTATTTCCGATTTTCCGATTCCGATTTCCGATTCCGATGGGTTTTCGATTGATGGTGATTGAGTTACAGCGATCCAGCGATCAGCGGTGGAGCGCGATTGGCTGTAGTTGCGCGCTTCAGCCGCTTGAGTCGCGAAGCATGAACGCGGCTGTGCAAGCACTTGCTCTCGGTGTCTTTGCCTTCTGCGCTTGTTGGTTCCATATGATGTGATCTTAGAAGTATTCATATATGGCAGGGTGTTTGGTGTAAGGCTGCATTCACACTTTTCATCAGCGTATCGAGCGTTTGAGCGATTTCGGTGCAATGGAAATTACGCTCTGGGCGTTTCGGAAGTAGTGGAAAGTATGGGTATCGATCTAGCGTTTTGGGGGCAACACCAGCAGTTTGAGTGTTTCCTTTCCGTTTTGCTTTAAAAGCTAGAGCGATACCGACACATTCTTTTCTCGGAAATCGCTTATACGCTTTTGTTTCTCTCAAAATGGTAGATTGAGCCATGAAGGTTTGAACGCAGCACGGGGTTTACATCTGTTGCATTCTTGGGCATTTTTGGTATTTCCCAGTCGTATAATAACAAAGTATGGGTTGCACTTGTGATGAAGTGCTGAGAACCAATAGATTTGGTGCTCATTATGCGTCAAATCTGACTAGTAAACCCGGAAAAACCGACTTTTCGTTGGGATGAATCCTTTTTATACATGTGTACTAGTTATTCTTTCTGAATCACCGTCAGTCATAGCTTCTTTAATTTCAGCCCATTTTAGGGGGAATTGGCCATATCCATGGAAAGTTTAG